CTCAGATGCCCCCTCCACTCAGTCTCAAAAACATGCACTGTAGCACATTTTGAGTTCCCTTTTGACTATGTATGTGAAAACCTTGTTCTGGAAATTCCTCTCTGGCTGAAGAGTGGTATTGGACTGGAATTGCACAGTTACCTGCAGCTGACACTAAAGAAAATGTTATGCATTACATGATCATGTGAAATATTTTTCATCGGGTTATTTTCTGGTTGACAGAGTATATATACCCATTTGCGGAAAAACGGTCTGCTTTTTTGAAGCAGTATTAAGCTCTCTTTTGCATTCTATCATATTGAATGAATGGGCTCACCCAATTTACAATGCTTTTTACATCTTTAACCAAGCTCCTGCTACATTTGCACGGACATTATAGTCAGTAAACATAATTATGCTATCTTTAAGGTGAATCATATTGTCTTTTAATTTCAATTATCCCATTCTCTTCTACCCTAATTACTCAGTGAAGGAATGATTTAAGATTCATCACATGGAGTTCTCTGTTATATTTGGGTCCTGGAATGTGAGGAATCTTTATAAGCTGACTAAAATAGGAGAAATGGCCTTAGGTTGATGGCTAAAAACAGCTGTACCCAAAGCTGCCCAATCAACCGGCTGAATTCATCTGAACCCATCACTCAGAGAGATGGATGACCATGTTCCTTCTTTACTCCTGCTCTTCTCCTCTTCCTAGCCTTGTTGGCTTGTCTGTTCTAATATTTATGCTGTGGTCCATTCCTATGGAGATCGTCTTAATGACCTCAGTAGGAATGGCCTGGTCTCTGTTGCACATTGCCATCTCAGTGATGTGGGTAATACATACTGTACAAGTGCTCACATCACTTTGTAAACGGGGAAGCACACTGTCCTTGATCTGTTGCACCCTACTTTGAAGTGGTTTTGGTGTCGGCACAAAGGGTAATGAAAAAAAATGTGCAATCAATCTGACATTTAACCAGTTGTCTCAGTTAAGACGTGATGCACAGCTGTAAGACTCCCCTGGCGCAGGTCCCAGTAGATTCCAGTCATGGTGAATCATGTGTCTGCAGACAAAGTCATGGCAGTTCATAGTTCTACCACCTTTGTTCACTTACGTATACCTCACACCGAGGTAAGAAATGAGCCCCAGGGGATCGTCACTGTTTCCCATAAATTATGCTTCACTGACACCCAAAGGGAGCGTGGAGGTGTGCTGAGCAGGTAAACTTCAAAAGGAAGATTCACGGAAAATGAATATCTAGGGGCTTCCACCATCGTCCAGACGGATGTGACACAAATGGAATGTGACTGATCCATTAATGTCTCAAACAGTGCTGATGGCAGAGCTTTGTTTTGAGGGACACCTCTAAATAATCTCCTTGGTGATGGTCCGAAGCTCGGTTTAGCTGCTTTCCTCACATCTGTGAATTATATGTGCTGTCTGGGTCAAGTAGAGACACCCAGTGAGTTGGCACAAGGATGGTTCTTGACACTTACAGTACTAATGCGATACTTAAGTTTACTTGAATTGTCAGGGAGTGATTAGGTGCATATGCTTATGTTTAATAAAGTTGTTCATAGCAGATTGAGCTATTTGCAGTTAAACAAGGATGAAGTCATAAACTATAATGTTATACTTTAAGAGGACATTTTTAACACTCTAAAGTTCAGAGATTCAGTGTATTCAGGATGTGGTTAATACATATACTGTAAGTGTTCACATGGACTCAGAAGAAGGTGGTAAGGATTTTAGTTCTTTGCACACGTGTTGAGAAAACTCTGCACTAGTTTTGCAGCTCCATCATCAGGCTATGTGCAGCCAAACAGCAGTTCATGCCCACACACATTCACTAAGACACTGGTACAGTGGTACCACCCTGCTAAGCACTACATTTAGTAGCTCAGTAGGAGGGCACCTCCCAGTTGTAGTCTCTTGTATTCAACAGCAACTTTAATAACAGTACATGAGAACTAGACAAACAAACACCAGAGCAACAGCACAATAAACAGACACTAATTACAGTGATAGTCGGCATGCCCTTATGCAAATCACTGCCAAAATCCCATGGTGTCACTGTCTGTGTATTGGCTGTCTCAGAATGAGAGGTTTAAATGTGTTAGCATTCTGATTACGTCAGTATTATACTAAGTTAAACTCTTGAACCGGCATGTGCATCTTGTAAAATAAAACATTTAATTAAAAAAATAGGTTTTAACTTCACACATCACTACAAAGTGCAATTTGCCAGTTTATGCTATGAGTTTATGGGGATTATCTGTCACTGCATAATTAGTGTACGGTATATATTGGGTTAAAGTTTATAAACAGCAGTCTAGGTGGAAGTGATGGCGACTGCTTTTTGTGACAGTAATGAATTTACAACTGTGCTGTTCTGCCTTCACTTCAGACAACTCAGAGATAACATAGTTCTGTGTTTTTCTTCCACACATAGCTTGTTTTCCAAACATGCTCTGCAGTGGAACATAAATTAATTTCAATGTTTATTTCAAATCTAAATAAAGAGCACGTGCTTAATGTGTGCAGTTAGGCCCTGGATTAGAACCAATATTTGAGTTATCCATTCATGTGCACAGCACAGACAAAATGCCAAATCACTCCATCACTACGGACTTCTCTGGGGTAAATTTGAATGATCTTGAGAAATCTGGTTAAATGGAATCACTGTTACACTAATGTTTACTCTGTGCTACCTATTGCATCTTTAGTTTTTCTGAGAACAGTAATGAATGCTTTTAGAAGCAACATTCCTTGCTGTGCTGGTATGCAAATAATACTCTTTTCAAGGCGAAAGCTGTGCAGCTCATTTTTTAACATGACCCAAAGTTCTGAAACAATAGCTACCAAAAACACTCGTGAGAATAATACATTGGTGAATCTTTTTTCTGTCTGGCTTTTTTTTTTTTTGATTGTTTCAGTCAATGAATGCTTGCCATTCCTTCTTTTAAAAGAAGCATTTGGAAATAGTACAGTACCTATCAGGAGTGTTTCAAAGGCAAATTACTGTACCACCCATACATTGAACTGTTGATCTTTGAACGCATCTGATCTTTTTCAGTACCAGCTACTGAGGGTCTACTTACAGTACCATCATGGATTTAATTGCGTAGTCCAGTGTTAGTTTTGAGGCTATAACATTAGCTGCTCATTTTTTCATAAAACGCATTGTGAACCTCATCAGTGTTCACATTCATTCTTCCATAGACCTTAGCTTGAAACCTCATCATGACCCGTGTTACAAAAACTGTAACTAATGCTACAGTACATCTGAGCTACATAAAAAATACATTGCCCACCTGTGTACCACACGCAGTCAAACTGCCCTTCATTTTTTTACAATGAGCAAAATGTGTTCAAATGTCATTAACAAGGGAAAGATTAAATGTGATTAAAAAATACTCTATACCTCATACACCATCCTAGATATACTGTACCTCTTAATTCAAGTGCAAACCCTATGCATTAATAAGAGTTTAAGATTATTTCATATTTTGTTCCCAGGTACTTTGTAATGTTTTTAGGAACTCACACACAAAGGCAGTGAAAGCAAAGGGCAGCCGAGTGAGTCATACTTTAAATATCTTTTTTACCTTTAATGCAGGTGGTAGTTATACAGAATTCACAGTCCTGAAGCCCAAGCTTCGCCTTTTAGACAAAAAAGCAAAGTTGCAATTTTTATTTTTCTCCAAATGGGTCTCTTTTCTCTTCATATTGAATAGTCAAATTACTTAAGAGACTACTTGGATCAGTAGTCTTTTTTTACATAACTAAATTAAAATTTAGTGCACAAAAGCTACTGAAAGAATGCCATAAATTCTGCAAAATACAAAAACCACAGTAGATTAATAATAAATACTTCCATGGTGATAAAATGTTAGGCCAATTGTAGGCAATAATCATATAATTAGTCCTAGGGAATACCTAATAACCACATAGTGGTTGTTGAAAAGTAAAACAGTGGCAGGAAAGTAATCTGTGTAGTGAT